GGGGGAAAATTCGGAAAAAGGCTAAAGAAGTGGCACCGTGGACTGATAATGCTCTCGGCCAACTGTTTAGAGAGCCCGCTCCGGCGGTCCGGAACAATTATTGATCGGCGGCCTATACAGGGGTAAACCTGATCTGGATGGGAACAGGCCGGGGAGACAATTTCGGAAGTCAGTATGGAGCTTGCAGGATCGTAGTTATGAATACGATTACGATGCTGATCAGTGGGATATTGTGGTGGTGATGACAGTGTGACCATTGGCGGCAAGGGAAGTTCAAGTTAGACACTGATATTCCCGCCATCAATGGACTTCATGGATTGGCTTGCTGAAATGAATCAGTTTTCCAAAATACATGGAGAGTGCCCATCTCTATTCTTCCATGCCATAGGCCTAGCAACCAAGTAAGTATTGGCCCAGCCCACAACAACCCTTGTGGCCTTTAGATCATTCGAAACCAAAACTCGTCTAAATGCACTAATTCCTTGCTGGAATTGGCGAAAACCTAAGCAAGGAATCTCTTTCACTTTTTGTTTATCTGCGCTGTTAAGGTGAATCGTGCTGTTCTAACATGGAAAAAACATTTTAATTCTGAATTTATGTTCTCCTAGGTATTATCCCGTCGCCGAGATGGCCACATTAATGGTGGCCACGGGCCGGTTTCGGCCCGGAACCGGACCAGTCAAACCCAGGCCCGCGGTTTGGAACCGGCCCGGAACTGCCGGTTCCGGGCCCGGTTCCGAAAAAATAAAATAAAATAAAATAAAATAAAATAAATCTGCTGCACTCTGCACTGCAGAGTGGGCAGACTGCAGTGACCCGTTGGCCCAACGGGCAAATTTAAAAAAAAAAAAAAACCCCCCCCAACTCGCCCAGGCGTCCGCAGCAGGGCCTGCACGCTGCACTGCAGGCCCTGCTGCGGGCAAAAAAAAAAAAAAAAAAAATCCCCGCAGCAGGGCCTGCACGTATGCAGGCCCTACTGCGGGCTTGCGGCCCGTTGCCAGCGGGCCAACGCCCAACGGGCAAAAAACTATTAAAAAAAAAAAAAGATAACCGTTGCAAAATTGCAACGGTTATCTTTTCTTTTTTTTTTAATTCTAAATTTTCTTCTCATTTTTTTCTTATAAATTCTCTCAAATTCTCTCAATACTCACAATTCTCTCAAATTCTCTCAATACTCACAATTCTCTCAATAGTCGAAATTCTCTCAAATTCTCTCAATTTTCTCAATACACGCAATTCTTTCTTAATTCTCCCAATTAATTCGCTCAATTCTCTCAATCCACTCGAAAAATGGCAAGTGGAAGTCGAGTGCCAACTGGCAAAGGTAAGAATATCGCGACGGAATCCCATCATTCTTTTGATCCTCGTGAATATGCAGATTTTCAAGATGATGAAATCAACATTTTTCCCGATGTGGAGCGCGTCCCGACGCAAGAAAGTTTTCATCCTCCTGCCGAAATATCTACAACAAAGGAAGGGGAACGGGAATTTACATCTGACATTTGGAATCATTTCACGAAAATGGAAAGGTTTGATATTGGTAAAAAAAGGTATGATATAATTTGTAAATATTGTGGGAAAATATATAAATATACAGGTGGACAAGGATATGGAACATTTAAACGACATCTTAGGAGCAAACATCCAACCGAAACGGGAATCGATATCGGGCAACAACAAATTTCCGGGTACGTCAATCCTAACACTTCCCCTTTATTTCGTTTTAATGAAAAAACTTATAAGGAAGAATTAGGCAAATTTATTTCCGTTGAGCATTTAGCATTTAATTTTGGAGAAAGATTTGGTTTTAATGAATTTGTACAAAAAGCATGTGCTCCACAAGCAAAACGTGTTCCTAGAAATTCAATTAAACGAGTAATTAAAGATCTTTACAAAAATGGAAGAAAAGATTTACAAAACTTTTTTATGCAATTTAATGGATGCGTGCATATAGATAGTGATATTTGGAGTGATCATTGGCAAAATCATTCTTACATGGGCATAACATGTCGTTGGATAGATGACGAGTGGAGTATTCAAAAAAGAGTTATTGCATTTAGAGTTTTCGATGATAAGCATATGGCAAATAATATTTATAGAATAATTAGGCAAATTTTAGAAGAATATTATTTGCTTAACAAAATTTTTTCAATTGGTTTTGATAATGCTGCGGCAAATACCGCTTCAATTGCCGATTTAGAAAATATTTGTAAACCCGCTTTTGGCAGAAAATTTTTTCACATTAGATGTGCTTGTCATGTTTTAAATTTATGTGTACAAGATGGTTTGAAAACTCTTGATATTTTTCTTCAACCAATAAAAACGGCGATTCAATTTTTATGGAAACATCCCCAGAAAATGAAAGAATGGGGTAGATTTTGTAGAGAAAATGGCAAAAGGCCAAAAAGATTTCCAAAAGATGTTCCAACTCGTTGGAATTCTACTTTTCACTTGCTTAATGAATCTTTAGCATATAAAGATTTATTATGTGCATTTATTTCTAATAATATACCTGAGATTAATTTATACCCACAAGAGTGGGATATTTGCCAAAAAATTTTAGACGTTTTAATGGTTTTTAATGATGCAACTTATACTTTGTCCGGTGTTTATTATCCTACTACACATTTATTTTCAGTAGAGTATACTAATATTGTCGGAATTTTTTATGAATATGAAAATGATGTTGAATTGCAACATACTATAGTTGTAATGAAAATGAAGTGGCTACATTATTATAGGGAAATTCCCATTATTTATTTAGTTGCTTGTGTTTTTGATCCGCGTTGCAAATTGGATGGCTTAAATGATTTTTTGCGTACGTATTATCAATGTTTACATTATGATGCGATAAATGTTACAACCATAATACGTGAGGTTAAAAATGTAGTAATAGAATTATATAATGAATTTTATGCTAAATATAATTTAGGTGATATTGGATCTTCTCGATCTACGGAGATACAAAATGACAGTACAGGTAAAATTAGTAGAGGGTACCAACTTTTATTACATAGACAAAAAAAACAAAAGGGAGTAATAGAAAAAATATTTCTGAATTAGAGATTTATCTAACCGTTTCATTTGAGTTTACTGAATCCGAAGGTGGTACAGATTTTTTAATTTTGGATTGGTGGAAGAGGCACGCAAGCCAATATCCAATCCTTTCTCTTATTGGAAAACAGATTTTTTCAACCCCTTGTTCCACAGTTGCGGTCGAACAAGCATTCAGTGCCGGAGGTAATATTTTGGACGAACATCGTTCAAAATTATCTCCAAAATCAGTGGAGATTCAAGCTTGTGTTGCTGATTGGACGAAGGCTCAATACCGGCAACAAGAGATAGATCAGAATAATGAATCCAAATTCTTTAACGACGGAGATACTACCGGTACCGGTACCGGTACTGGAACGGGTAGTGCCGATTGAGGGTAAAAGAACTATTGGAGTTGGCAAATATTTCGGGAATCCTTGTTTCTCATATCGGGTATGCCCACGTGAGCTTAGGGAAACCGAAATATAATCCGACGACATGTGACCTCTGGTCCCCTGCGCACGGAATGCTTAGGTTTTAGGGTCATTTTAGGGCTTATATATTGTGCTCCTTTTTTTTATAAATCGTTGTAACGAATTATAATGTGCTAAATGATAATTTATTAAGTTCAAGCCCTCTCTTTCTCTCTTGTCTTTTTGTCCCCAAATTTGATTACAATTTACATTTTAATTACAATTTATATTGAATAATGTTCCGTCACCGGAACATTAACTTTTTTATTATTTTCTTTTCTGTTTTTTTATTTTCCTTTTCCTTTTCTTATTTTTTTTTCTTTTCTTACTCCGCCGGCCATAGCCGGGCCGGCGGAGGTTGCCGGCCTCAGGCGAGGCCGCCCTCGTCGGCGTCGGGCGAGGCTGGCCTCACCAGATCGGGCGAGGGCTCGACCTCGCCGGCGTCGGGCGAGGCCGACCTCGCCCGGTTCTTTGCGTCGGGCGAGGCGGCCTCGCCTGCAGCGGCGGGGCCGGCCTCGGCCGGCGCCGGCGAGCTCGACCTCGACCCGCCGCAGACGAGGTCGGCCTCTGCCGGCGTCGGCGAGGTCGAGCCTCGCCGGATCCGGCGAGGGCTCGACCTCGCCGGCGTTGAGCGAGGCCGACCTCGCCTCGCCCGGTGAGGTCGGCCTCGGCCGGCGAGCCTCGCCAGATCCGGCGTGGTTCGAGCTCGCCGGCGTCGGGCGAGGCCGACCTCGCCCTGGCCAGCGAGGCCGGCCTCGGCGGACGCCGGCGAGGCTTGACCTCGCCCGCCCAGCGAGGCCGGCCTCGGCCGACGCCGGAGAGGCTCGACCTCGCCAGATCTGGCGAGGCCGGCCTCGCCCAGCCCAGGCGAGGGTGGCCCTCACCCAACCCAGGCGAGGGCGGCCCTCGCCCGATGCCGGCGAGGCCGGCGACCTCCGCCGGCCCCGGCTATGGCCGGCGGAGGAAGAAAAGAAAAAAAAAAAATGAACCGGCCCGGAACCGGTTCCGAACCGACCGGTTCCGAACCGAACCTGAACCGGAACCGGAACCGGCCCGGAACCGGAACCGCCAGGGGAGGTTCCGGTTCCGGTTCATGCTTGGCCACGAACCGGAACCGGTCGGTTCCGAACTGGAACCGGTCGGTTCCGAACCGTGGCCATGACTAGGCCACATGCCATTATAATCGTGGAAACTGTTGTGTGAACACCACCGGTATTTTACGTAAGTAAGAATTATTCGACCAAGTAAGGTTACGAATAAATGCTATGAAGTAGAGATTGGAAAATTAGTTTTGGGGGGGGGGGGGGGGTAAATGAGAGTAAAACAGCTCACAAGCCAAAACAGAGGGCCAACTACCAATACAACTTGTTTGGCATGATGGGTCATACATTTGACTCTGGAGTTATTCATCTGTTGTGTGTGTTCTTCTTGGTCATGCCATTGATGCCATTAATAGCATTGAAAATCCACTTGTTGGATCGTGTAAAAAATCCAACTTTACCATCCTCTTTTTCACTATATATACACCTAATTGCTGTGCTTGTTTGAAATGGCATTGATTAGAGCTTTCTCTCCATCTTGATCTAAACTTTGCTATCTCCTCTTCCACAGAAGTAATGGCATAGCATAGAGATCTTCATCTATTTATATCATAGAAATCTTCATGCGTGTTCATGATCTCTATCTTAGATTTTTCTCTCCTTTTTTTCTTTTTATACCTAGAATTATTTTCCATTCATCATTTCACCCATATAATGTGTTTTTTTGCCATTCATCGTTTCATCATTTTAATAAACAATGTCATCATTTTCTTTCTTGCATTGAAATTGAGATGGAAGCTATGATATCTTCTTGTTTTACATTTTTTGTATAAAAACAGCAACCGGTTTTCCCGAAAGAGCACAACAGTAGAGAAAACTGAACTACTCTAATACTATAAGCCATGCATATGAAATGCTAAAAATTTTAAAGTTGTTGCACGCTAAAAACAAGACCAAAACCAACCATAATCAAATACCAAAGTGGCTGTGATTAACCATATCTCTGATCATTCATCTTATACGATCTTCAATCTTTTCAATTTGTTTTCCAGGAAAACCATCCTGCTTAATTAGGTGCTCCAGCGACACGATTCAATGGCGAGCCCCAGCACTAGGATCGATGGTGGACGTGACAAGGACAGTGATAATTCTGGATCCATGAGAGAAAAGTTATCCGTGTTGATTGTGGATGATGACGTGCTCGAGTGTAGAGTACATGAGATGCTTGTTAGCGAGCTCAAAGTAGCAAAAGAAGTCCAGACTGAAATGGCCACAAATAAGGAGGCCTTGGATCTTCACCTTTCTGGTCCATCTTTTGATATTATCCTCATGGACATTGATTCGCCCATCATGGATGGCCCTGAAGTAAGAATTAATTAACTCTTCATTCTATCTTATATTTGACGCATATTTATGAACAATATCAATTGCACATAAAATGTACGATTTCTTCCTTGTATTCATGTGTGAAGGTGACGGAGAAGCTGCGAGCGAATGGAGTGAAGAGCATGATCGTGGGATTGACTTCGCAGAACGCCGAAGCGGACAAGGCAGCTTTCATGGCGACGGGTCTGGATGAGTGCCTTGAGAAGCCATTGACTGTTGAGAAGATCAAGTCTCTTGTTGAAACCCTAGAGAAGGACAACTAGAGATGTGAGCACCAGCTTATACCTAAAGGAGGAATAATGAGTGATCATGCGAAATATAGAGTTATAGGGTTCATATAGTTATTTTGATTATATAGATCTATGACTGAGCATGGTACATGAGTTTTGTAACTATGCAAGTCATTTGCTGACTATATTACTGCTTATTAATCAAGGGAAGTTATGAAAATTATAAGTGTTTATGCTCTCTCTTGCGTGATGGACATTGTTAGCTGTTATTGAGATCATGAGGATTTACTGTCTGTTGTCCAAATATTTTTTTCCTATAATCTTGTAGTTTTTATTTGGTTTTCAGTTTTTCGTCAATTAGTTATGGACTTATGTTTAATTTTCTGATAGCAAACTCCCACAGATTTTGGGGACCATTCTTGTGTGCAATAGAATAAGTTCATAGCGAAAACATATAATGCGCCCAAGTTTTTAACATTTGGTAGAAATGCACTCTTTTGCTGCACAAAAGTTGATGAGTTTAGTATTTATATACGATAAGCTCATCGCTGATGTTTTGATCATTTAGTGCATTAAGTTTCTTGTTTGTCATATAATACTCATGTGAGTTTTTCTTTTTCCCAAGCATGGTTCCTGGGAGGTAGGGAATAAGATACTGTTCTCCCTAGCTGCCACTTCTCACCAGCCTAATGAAAAGAAGGTTTTAGTTCCACTTTGTTTATGAGAATTTAATGATATTCCAGCTGCTTCCAGAGCTTATAAGACACGGTTTGCTTGAGGATTAAGGGTGCAATATTTCGAGATATAGTTTATTCAGCAAGTTGCCCTGCAGATTACCAAGTTTTCAGAAGTTGAATCTATTTTCCCTTCTCAACTCCAGGGATGAACTGCTCTATAACAATTAAGATGACTCGGTGATTGGTTAGATTTCCTCTCCTCCAGAGAGAAGAAGGCACATCATCTGATATGGAAGTGGTCTTCGATAACTTCTACATCCTTGTATTCTTCTTCACTTTTCTTGTACAAAACCAAAACTCTCTAGCATCATCTCAAAGCAGCAAGATCAAGTATAGACCATTTTTTGTTCGACAATCTGATGTCTCAAAAATATTGAATTGGTTATCTAGGTTGCAAAAGGAAAATTATATCCATATCTATCTTCATCCTGAAAATAATCTTGTTCTTGATATCCCCATGTTTGGTACCAAATACCGAAGTTCTTAGCATTTACTTGGTTGCAATGCATTCTTTCCTTGCACTAAAATTGATAAAATTGGTATTCCTGTGTAAACAGTAAGCTCGTCACTGCAGTTTTGATCATTTAATGTAGTTGGTGCCTCATTCATCGGGAGATTCTTTTCTGTAACTTTTTTTCCCCGAGAACGGTTTGTGGATGGTAGGGAAAAAGATATCGTTCTTCTCCCAAGCTGCCACTTCTATGCAGCGTCATGGAAAGAAAGTTTTAGTTCCAGTGTGTTTAAGTTTACTGATATTCCAGAGGCTTCCAGAGCTTATAAGACATGGCTTCGTTGAGGATTATGGGTGAAATTATCTCTTTCCTAGGCAGGTCGTTATTCACCAATAAGCCCACTTACACCTCTGTTTGCTCTCATCTTCACTTTACTTATTATAAAAAAATAGGTGAAATAAGTAATAGCATCCATTATCCCCATATTTTTTTTTTGGCTAGAAAATCCATTATCCCCATATTTCTCCAGTGGCCATTGGTATTCTAATTGAAGTTGCAATGTTGATATCATCAAGAAAGGGTGATGCTAACATATCTCGTTCATGGTTTTGTCGAGTCCTAAAATCATTTATACACCTCAATACGTGTTTGAACGAGAGTTCATTTCACACTCCATGGTTTGAGAAATATCACGTGACAAGTCATTCTAGGGGAAAACGAATTCCGCTGACTTGAGCAGGTTTAGATTTGGCTTCAACCAGGCATTTCGATTTTATACTGTCAAATGAAAGGCCACTTTAGAAAACATTTTTTAGCTACTTTCGTTCTAAAGGCAAAAGAAACAAGAAGGAAATTAAAATCTTCTTACTCAAATAGCTTTAAGTTAAGTTGAGCTTTGGCAATAGCTGTAATTTGTCAATTGGCTATTATTAGTGGAAATCACTAACTAAGACCAGATTTGACATACTGAACAGGAAAGCTGCTCTGGAACTTCACTTTCCTGGATAATGATGGACAGCTTGCCAGCTTTTTCGATTCCTAGGGCTGTATATGCAACTGTAAGGGATCATTGATGTTTCTTTCAAACACTCTTTTGCGCAATTTGAAGACAATTGGAAACCGGCATTTGTTTAGGTAACAAATTCTTTTTTGCGATACAGTTACAAGAGCATCATGAATTTGATCTGGCAATCACATAATCTTAGATGACAAGTTTCCAATTTCTGCATAATTTAGATGTCATCACAATTTCCAGGCAGGGTGCGCATTTTCTCATCTTCGTCACAAGAGAGAGAGAGAGAGAGAGAGAGATTATAACATCATGAATTTCGACCCATTTCCGGGATCGATGAGATTGATATTATTCTCATTTAATTTTAGTAAGTCTCGCCCGGAATTGAGCGCTCTCGGGATACTAACCGGAAGGGAATGGCTAATTAGGAAAACGGTACGTGGACCAGGGACCCGATCGCAAATTGGGCACCGATTCCAAGAAACGACGAGGAAATATTTTGGGCCAATGCGGGCCGATCCTAGGGAGGTGACGGATTTAGTTTGGCCAATGATGTACGATCGGATCGCGGGTGATTCCGCACGACCGAGAGTACGTGTGGCGAACAAATCCCGAACTTAACCCGAACGATCGCTACCTCCGGAACTAGCGATAAATCCTCGCGTTCTCCCGATAATCGAGACCGTCACGACTCGAGTAATCCTAGGTCGATACGCGTAACCCCCTAAGCAGCCGCCCGTTAGTGAGAGACCCTAAAATTGTAATCGAGCAATTTTGATCGTAAAATTGGATCCGGACTTAGGCGTCGAATTTCGGGGTCGTGCGCGACTATTTTACGAGGACGACGTCATTTTAGTGTGACCAATGAAATTTGGGGTCGGTATGGTCGAAAAATGGAAATTCGGTCTAGGACCGGAAAATTACAATTTTGCCCCTAGGCCTATTTTTGGGTATTCCGAATTTTGGGGATTTTGGAAATTAAATTTGGGGATTAATTGTGGATAAATATCAGCCCCAAAAGATTGGACCAAAACGCCCTTGGATATTTTGGCTTGGATTAATGAGGACCAAGTGTTTTAGGGGCAAAATTGGAATTTGGAAAGTTTGGTCAAATCACTATTTAAGACCAATATCTCTCTCTCTCCTCATTTCTTCCCCTCCTCTCCTCTCTCCCTCACCGAACCATCTCCCCCTTTTGCTCGGCCGTGAGGATCACCGCCGGAGCCGCTCGCCGGAGCAAGCTGCCACCGCCGGAGCAAGCCGCCACCGCCGTGCCGTCGCCGTACGCCGATCGCCGCCGCCGTGAGCCGCCGGCCAGCCGTTCCCTCTTCCCGCTTTAGCCGAGTTAGTCTAGAGTTCGGATAAGTCACGCCCTAAACTCTATTTAGGATATCGGGTATTAACGGACTCGTTTAGGTGCGGTTTAGGGTAGTTTAGGGGTTGATGAAAGTGATTGTAAATGGATTAGAGGAGAGCTTGATCCCTTGTTGTGTTTATGGATGTTCATGTGGCTGGTGGATGATAGTTTGGACATGGTGGAATGAGTTTTGGCGGTTGAAATTCGATAGAAATCAATTAGGATTTGAATCCTTGAGGTTTGGTGTGATTCTCGGATTTGCGGTTACTGTACCTGTTCGGTTTGCTATTTTTGTGGAGAATTTTGTGGGCCGAATTTGAGGAAGTTTTCTTTATGAAAGTTGCTCCCAACTTTAAGTTTGGAATTTTTGGAGGCCATTTGGGTCGCACGAAAACGCATTTTTAGACCGTCTTAAAACTGCCCGGAACACTGTTCATCCCGACCTTCTTGTTTTGCTGAATTTTTATAAAATTTTCCAGATCTATTTTAAATAAATTTCCTTCACAAAAGTTGTTGACGACTTTCATTTCTATGACATATAAAAATTTCAAAGATTTTCAAGGTGATTTGGGTGTTGAAAGAAATGTATTTTGAGGACAAAATAGTCTGTTAGAGCGAACTGATTCTGGTCTGATTTCGAAGGACAAAAAGGTATGGTTGCAGATTGAAGCGGATTTCGTGTTCTTCATAAGAAATGTTTACCAAGATGTTTTTTTTATGATATATACAAAATTTAGAATTTTTGGAGTTCGTTTACTATTTATTTTGATGAGATTTCAGTCACTGTGTAAACTGCCCAGATTTACCCTGATTCTATGGATGTTCATTTTTATGAGCAAGAAATTGTGTGTGACCGCGTGCCAAGTATGTGTGGCCGTGTGGCGTGATTGTGTGATGGTAATGTGTGTTGGCATAAGGCATGTGTGGCGTGGGATTGTGTGGCCGTGTGTGATGTGTGACCGTGTGGCACGTGTGGTATGATGGTATGAGATGATTGGAATGGTCTGAAAAGTGGTACCCTGAGGCGTGTTCGTTTACGCGGGGTAGGATCCGTCCTGAGGCGTGTACGTTTACGCGGGACGATGTCGTCCCTGACGAGGTGATGATGCCCGGCCCGATGGGGTGACGATGCCTGATGAGGTCAGAAGACCGTTGGCCTGATGGGTTTTACGCGGGCGCGGTAGTGAAGGCAAGTTGAGTGTAGGATTCCGTCCTGAGGCGTGTTCGTTTACGCGGGACGATGCCGTCCCTGACGAGGTGACGATGCCCGGCCCGACGGGGTGACGATGCCTGACGAGGTCAGAAGACCGTTGGCCTGATGCGTTTTACGCGGGCGCGGTAGTGGTGGAAAAGTTGGGAATGAGCTGGACTTGGCTTGACGTGTGAGGATTGCGAAAGTTGACGCATGGCGTGAGTTAGTGTGCGAGTGTGGTTGTATCGTGTGATGTAGTGCTCGATTATGGGGTAAAAACTACTAGGCATGGTATGGGACGTACCCAAGTGGGTTTTTCCTTATAATCGAGGCACGCGCGATTGTGATGCATTGATGCATGTGAATTCATATTACATGCTTTGGTGTTGCGACATGCATGATGCATCATTGTGGCATGTTGGCTGTATTATTATCTGACGTGCATGGAGGTGTATGAACAATCTCAGGTAGGTTCGCGTGTGATTGTT